GGACCTGCATCACAACATCTTCAAGGCATGCTGCGCGGCGTCGGCGTCGGCACCTTCGATGCGCTCGGAGTCCCGCGGCCCTACACAAAGGAGAAATTTTTGGAGATCTACGCTCACCAGCGCGACTCTACGAAGAAGCTTACCGTGGTGCAAGAGGAGGAACTGGCGCGTCGCGAAGCGGAAGAACTTCGCCAACAGAGCCTTGCGGAGTCGCGCGGCACATTCGCCTGGAGCGGATGGGGCGAAGAAGAGAGCGCCTCCAATGAAGGGGGGTGGGGAAGCGCTGGCGGATGGGGCACGAGCGACACCGGCGGCGATACCGGCGGATGGGGCGCCGCAACTGGTGGCAACACTGACGGATGGGGAGCAGTCACCGGCGGCAACACCGGCGGATGGGGCGCCGCATGTGGCGGCGAGACAAGCGGCTGGGGAGCTTCCCGCGAGGACCAAAGGGGGGAAGAAGAAGAAATTGAGGCCGAACCTCCTGTTGTTCCTCTTGGTCGTCCTCCGCGTCGCCCTGCACCCGCACTGCCCCCACCTGACATCCCGCTAGGGAGTGACCCTTGGGACACCATCGACTGGGGGAATGAGCCATCTACTCCGCGTCGCACCGTCTACGGGCCTGTCCCCGAGCCGCGTGAACCAACTTTCTTCCCGGGAACTATCCCTGGAACTAATACTCCCCTCTCCACCATCCTTGACAGGGAATTTCTTTCGCTAATGCTGACGACGGCGAACGAAGAAGAAGAAGCTGAAGAAGCAGCGACGACACCCGCTCAAGCGCCTGACGAGGACCCCGCAGAAGCACACGCGCGCTACATGCGCACCTCTGGATTTCGCGCTGACGATGCCATCTGGCACCAGCGCCTAGGTCACCCCTCGCGCGTAACACTGAAGAACTGCATCGAGGCCGGCGTATTTGCGCCGGGCGCACTCCTGCGCCCTGATGGCACCGAAGTAAGGGGCGCGACACATCCGCGCAACTGCACCGTCTGCCCCGAAGCCGCGCTGAGCCACCAACCGTTCCCCCTGCTAGAGCCCGGAACTAACCGCTACACCAAACTGGAGAAGGTGTACAGCGACTTCCTCAACGTGGGACATTGCGGCATCAACGACGAACTATACACGCTCACCTTCGTCGACGCTGGAACGCGCTATGTATGGATCGTAAACGTGGAAGCGCGCAGCAGAGCATACGAAGTGTTCCGCCTGTGGCTGGCGCACGCGCAGCGGCAATCTGGGGAGAAGCTGAAGATCTGGCAATCCGACGGCGCAGTGGAGTTCAGGAGCAAGGAGTTGCAGGATTACCTCGCGCAGAAGGGAATCGAGCACCATATTTCCCTCCCCTACACGCACCAGCAGCAGGGCGTAGCTGAGCGCACGAATCGCACCCTCATGACGAAGGTGCGGGCGCTGATGAAGCAGTCGAATCTTCTGCCGACCTACTGGACCTACGCGATGCACCACGCCGTGCGGGTGCACAACCTGCTGTCGACCACCGCCATCACCGGCAACTCATCACCACATGTGAAGTGGACGGGGACCAAGGGCGACACATCCATGCTCCGCATGTGGGGATGCATGGTGCAATACCGCCCGCCGACATCGACTATCGGGAAGTTTGCAAGCCGCGCGCGCTGGGGGATCCACCTCGGCATCAGCCACGAGCACAAGGCATGGCTCATTCTGGACCTCTTGAGCCAGAAAATCAAGAACGTGCGCGATGTCATCTTCTATGAGCGGCTCTTCCTTCGGCAATTCCGCGAAGACAAGCAGGCGAACGCGAACCGCGTCTATGCCAACGACGGACACAGCTACGCCTCACCTGAGGACGAAGCTGCAGCAGCCATTCTGGAGCAGGATCCCAGAGGCGAGTTCACAAGAGGCGATCACGACAACGACGACGACGACGACGATTCTCCTGGAGGAGGAGCAGGCGCAGCAGGCGGAGGCGGAAGCGGAAGCGGCGGAGGCGCAGCACCGCCAGCACCACCTGAACCAGAAAGCGACGATGACAATGTGCAGGAAGTCATCCCACAGCACCACCACGACAGCACAATTTCGGGACTTCAACTTCGCAGGCTCCACACTGCCACCTCAACGGCGCCACGTGTCATCGAGCCGAAGAATCCGCGCCAAGCACTCACGGGACCACACAGCAAGGAGTGGCGCGAAGCGATGGATGCGGAAATTAAGGCACTTGAGTCCCGCGACACCTGGGTGCTCGTCGATCGAGCGGCAATCAAGGGGAGAAGGATTCTCTCTGGGAAATGGGTGTTCCGCGTGAAGAAAGCAACGGACGGCACGATTGAACGATTCAAGGCGCGTTGGGTCGTACGCGGCTACGTCCAGAGGCACGGCATCGACTTCGACCAGACATTTGCGCCGGTCAGCCGTCACACCTCCGTCAGAATACTTCTCGCCATCGCTGCCGCACGACACATCCCGCTCCGACAAATCGATGTGAAGAACGCATTCCTGTACGCGTTAGTGGATGCAATGATCTACGTGGAGCAGCCGCACACATAGGGCGAAGGGGATTTGCGTGTCTGCCAGCTGCGAAAATCCCTTTATGGGATCAAACAGGCGCCGAGGCTCTGGCAGCAGTACCTGCACAACATACTGCTTGAAATTGGGTTCAAGCAGTTGCCTCACGATCCTGGGATGTATCGCCGCGATTTCCGCGGCGAATACATCCTACTCACGGTCTACGTCGACGACCTCCTCTACACAGGGTCAAGCAACGAGTTGCTTGAGCAGTTCGAGAAGAACCTCGTAGGGCGTGTCGACATCACTTGCAACCATGACGTGAAGCAGTTTCTCGGGCTCAACATCTCCTACTCGCCGGAAGCCATTAATCTCTCAACAGCCAAGTACGCAGAGGAACTTAGCAAACGCTTCAACATTGCGCCTGCACCACTCTCCACCCCTTACCGCACTCCAGGGCCCAACCACAAGCCTGACAACAAAGCCCTGTCCCCTGCTGGGCTTCACACCTACCAGCAGCAGCTGGGATGCCTACTCTTCGCCTCTGTTACCTGCAGGCCCAATCTCTCCTACATCGCGAGCCAGTTGGCTCAGTACTCTCGCAAACCAACGGCTGAGAACTTACTAGATCTCCAGCGGGCGCTTCAGTTCTTCATCTCCACGCCCAATGTTGGGCTCTGCCACTCCACCATCCCAACCTCGTCCTTCAACCTCATCGGCTACGTGGACGCTGATCACGCCGCTGACCCCGACAATCGACGGTCCAGGACAGGCTTCCTTTTCCGCCTCGAGCCCAGCGGTCCCATCTCCTGGAATTCACAGAAGCAGAAGCTGGTTGCCCTGTCATCGGCGGAAGCTGAATTCATCGCAGCAACAGCAGCCGTTCGCGAAGGCCTCTATCTTCAGGAGCTGCTGCAGGAGGCGAAAATTCCAGCCTCGGCGAACTTTCGCCTGCACTGCGACAATCAGAGCGCGATCAGGATCGCGAACAAGCCTGGATTCGTCAACCGCACCAAACACATCGCGCTGCGGTACTTCTTCGTCAAGGACGAAGTTGACAAGGGCAAGGTTGACCTAACCTACTGCCCGACGGGTGACATGGCAGCCGACTTCCTCACGAAGAAGCTGTCACGTCAGCAGTACCAACACTGCTCCGAACTCAGCGGAGTAGTCAAGCGGGTCAAGACTCGCTACGGCTAGGAGTGCAGGGGGGTGTTACGAATAGTAACTATTGAAGCGTCACTGTGCACTCCTCACCGCAGCAATCGAAGCACGCACTACCAAGGATGAAGGCGAAAGGACAGGAGTGACACGAAGGGTCGTACAGTCACGAAAGGATGTGGACCGTCGGGCAGACAGCATCAGGCAGTAGCAGTGGCGAGGATTCTGCCCGGACAGTTTCGTAAGTGTCTGGAGTCGCACGGTTGGGTTTCGCTGCAATAAGGGAATGTACCCCTTAGAGTACATGGCTAGACTAGGTCGATTCGTATTCCCTTGTACTCTTATTTATATTACTGTGCTTGCATGTTTTTATTATCTCAAGCATTTTATATTCACTCTGCTATTGAGGTCAAGGGCCCACCACCACTACTCAGACGTGTGCGAACCTTCCTGAGGTGATCCTAGGCACGATCAACATCTGATCGCAACACATACAGCAATACATGCAAGCAATACATTGGTGCAACCTACGGTACCACACGATGGCACCGTAGATAGCAAAAACATTGCTGTTAGCATGCAGGCGTGCCTTTTTTACAATATGAACTGTTAGAGACTCACAATTTGCCAATAGTACATCATTGGCTTGGCTGAAGGCAATATCCTCTATATGGTACACTTCAAGTTGAAGTCATTGATTTGCTCTCACTAACTACTCTTGCCCCTACTGGAGGTACTTCCAAGATTTCAAATACCGTATGACCTTGATGAAGCTTGCAATTAAAATATATGAATATGATAATATATTGCCAGGGCGAGGGCGTAGCCAGCATGGCAATGGTACTGTAGCATCAAAGTGCTACACACCCTCCTTTTGACCGTAAGCACCGAATATGGCACGACTATCACCTCCCCCCTCCACTATGCAGAAACCCCAGTGCCTCCTCCAACGCCTCTACCACCACCCGGTCATGTTCTCCCTCGGGCAACCCACCCCAGACATGCCGAACAAACGCCCCTTGCGGGCCGGTAAGCTCAACACATGGCACGACTGTCACCTTCCCCCTCCACTCTGCAGAAACCCCAGTGCCTCCTCCAACGCCTCTACCACCACCCGGTCATGTTCTCCCTCGGGCAACCCACCCCACACATGCCGAACGAAGGCCCCTTGCGGGCCCGTAAGCTCGGCATGTGGCACGACTATCACCTTCCCCGTCCTCCCTGCAGAAACCCGAGTGCCTCCTCCAACGCCTCAACCACCACCCGGTCGTGTTCTCCCTCGGGCAACCCACCCCACACATGCCGAACAAACGCTCCATGCGGGCCCGTAAGCTCGGCATGCGGCACGACTATCACCTTCCCCCTCCACTCTGCAGAAACCCCAGTGCCTCCTCCAGCGCCTCAACCACCACCCGGTCGTGTTCTCCCTCAAGCAAACCACCCCACACATGCCGAACAAACGCCCCTTGCGGGCCCGTAAGCTCGGCATGTGGCACGACTATCACCTTCCCCCTCCACTCTGGTTCACGAGCGACGATGTTTAGGTTTGCCTGCTCCCACACGTGATGGTACAGCTCGTACTCGCCGTCTCGTACATTGTACCACTGTTGATAGAGCCGCGGGGGGCAAAGGGAGGGGAGCGGAACAACAGGATGAGGTGACTCCTCAGTCAACTCAACATTCAGGTTTGCCTGCTCCCGCACGTGATGGTACAGCTCGTACTCGCCGTCTCGTACATTGTACCACTGTTGATAGAGCCGCGGGGGGCAAAGGGAGGGGAGCGGAACAACAGGATGAGGTGACTCCTCAGTCAACTCAACATTCAGGTTTGCCTGCTCCCGCACATGATGGTACAGCTCGTACTCGCCGTCTCGTACATTGTACCACTGTTGATAGAGCCGCGGGGGGCAAAGGGAGGGGAGCGGAACAACAGGATGAGGTGACTCCTCAGTCAACTCAACATTCAGGTTTGCCTGCTCCCGCACATGATGGTACAGCTCGTACTCGCCGTCTCGTACATTGTACCACTGTTGATAGAGCCGCGGGGGGCAAAGGGAGGGGAGCGGAACAACATGATGAGGTGACTCCTCAGTCAACTCAACATTCAGGTTTGCCTGCTCCCGCACATGATGGTACAGCTCGTACTCGCCGTCTCGTACATTCTACCACTGTTGATAGAGCCGCGGGGGGCAAAGGGAGGGGAGCGGAACAACAGGATGAGGTGACTCCTCAGTCAACTCAACATTCAGGTTTGCCTGCTCCCGCACATGATGGTACAGCTCGTACTCGCCGTCTCGTACATTCTACCACTGTTGATAGAACTGCAAGAGGCAGAGGGAGGGAGGGGAAAATCAGGGTTTGAGACGCCTCAAAACTCGATTACTGCTCGTACTCGTCTTTACATACATTCTACCACTGGCGAAAGAACTGTGGGAGATAGTGGGAGGGGAGCGGAACAACAGGATTGCATTACAGATCCTTATATCGCCTTTGAGATGTCTCAAAGGGCGAGCAATGTTGTTCAGGTTTGCCTGCTCCCACACGTGATGGTAATGCTCATACTCGATCATAGCTCGTACCCTCCTTCACATTGTACCATTGTTGAAAGAACTGTGGGGATGGTGGGAAGGGAGGGGAACAACATGATTGCACTAGAGATCCGTATATCGCTCCCGCATTTGCATGCTTCATACATACAATCCGGATGCTCTCGAGTGTGACTACATCAATGACTTTGGCCAAAGTGTATGGTAGGGGAAGGGACAAACGTTTTACTTATTTGACACAAAAACTATTATCCTCAAAGGCAAAAGAGCAAACCAATGAAGACATATCAAGTTAAGATAATTCAGACTAACCTTGAAGCTATCTCGCGACCTCCTCCACAGCATCACTCCCGCATTGATGAAATTTGTCTGCTCCTTAAACAGCGTCCCGACGCCCCCCTCAAACCCCGCTCCCAGGTCCCCATTCCGTGGTAACAGAACCACAGGCCCCTCCGGCTGTAGCGCGTTGGTCGGCTGCAGCAGCAGGGCAGGGTCCTGTGGGACCCACACCTGTCCCTCCAGTGATTCCGTACGGTTAGCCTTCAACAACCAATCGAAATAATTCTGATGGAAGGGGCATACAGGGATATGAGAGGCACAGGACACTACTAGTTGAAGCCACGTGATGGAAGGCAAGTGAGGGAAGGCAAGTGAGGGAAGGCAAGTGATGGAAGGCAAGTGAGGGAAGGCAAGTGAGGGAAGGCAAGTGAAGGAAGGCAAGTGTGGAAAACATGCTTGGCGGGAAGGTGTATTGTGTGTATATGCTATCGTATACGCGCCTAGAGTACGCTTGCAAAGGCAGGAGACAAAATCCCGGTGAGTAGAAAAATAAAAAATCAACGTGACGGATGGCGGAGGAGGGGGAGGGGGGAAGGCAAAGACATTGGACCGATAACAACAAAAACAACAATAATAATGTTATTGATAACATCATGACGGTTAAATGTTAATTCGAGCATTTCTCGTTTTGTGTCAAAGTGCCTGGGGCTCTGAGCGTCGAATCGTACTACGCTCTAAAAAAGAAAGAAGATCCAAATGATGTAGGCAGGAGCATGATGGGCTTAGAAAGACAAGAGCCCACTCACAGGTTGCTTGAGGGTTTGAATCCAAGCTTCAATCGAGAGGCGGTGGTGGTTCATTCGCATGTATGCATCTGAGTCGAGAAAGAAGACCCACTGGCAGCAGCACGCCAGCTGCTCCTGCAGAAACGGCACCTGCAAAGGAGAGCAGGGAAGAGTCAATGCAGACAATGCGGTCAATGGGGGCTATGCAGTCGAGAAAGAGGACCCACTGGCAGCAGCACGCCAAGTGCACCTGCCAAAACGGCACCTGCAGCGGAGAGCAGGCATGAATTCAATGCAGTCAATGTGGGCTCATTGCTCCTGCAGAAAACAGGCATGAAGTCAATGCAGTCAATGCGTGCAAAGCACGAAGTTGGTGCCCGCAGTCTAGTCATACTCGTCGATACGAACGAGGTAGGTAAAAACGAGGAAAAAAAATCCGAACGATGAACATCGAATGGAGAATTAGAGCCGCATTTCTGCTAGGAGAGATGAGTCTGGTTGAATCCAACTCCTCCACTCGACATTGAGTGGAAGGAATTGGGATTGAATGGGGTGGAGTGGGTTGCGCAATGGTATACAGAAGGGGTTGTTGTGGATCTGCTTCGAAATTCAATTTCGAAGTTGAGATCCCAAATGTGCGATGCCCTAATTTTCAGTTCGCCATGTCGCTAGCTCAAACCCAACTTCTGATTTTTTTTCCCGGGCTGCCCGAGCGTTTTTCTGCGTTTCCACACCAAAAACGCAGCGGTCGTTTTTTTAGCGCGTATAAACTCAAAACGCAAAAAGATTCGAGCGTATACTCCAACTAAGGTAAGGGCTACACGGGATGCTCAGGCATCGTGACAAGGAGCGTGGAAGCAGCACAGCAACAGCTTCTGCTGAAAGGGCACCCTGCAATACAGTCAATGCAGTCAATCCAGTCAATGCAGTCAACGCAGTCAATGCAGTCAGTGCAGTCAGTGCAGTCTATGCAGTAAGTGCAGTCAATGCAGTCAGTGCTGTCAATGCAGTGACGACACGTGCAAGGGAAAGCAGGGAATGTAAGGGCTACAGGGGATGCATGGGAGGAGGTGGATGGGAGGAGGTGGATGGGAGGAGGTGGATGGGAGAAGGTGGATGGGAGAAGGTGGATAGGAGAGGTGCCAAAAAAGCGTGACTAGATTGGGCACGAGCAAACTTAATGACAATCACCTTGAACCACGAGGGGTGTCTATGCTGGGTGCTGGCCTCACCTCATTGACTCTCACCTTGAACCACGAGGGGTGTCTATGATGGGTGCTGGCCTCACCTCATTGACTCTCACCTTGAACCACGAGGGGTGTCTATGCTGGGTGCTGGCCTCACCTCATTGACTCTCACCTTGAACCACGAGGGGTGTCTATGCTGGGTGCTGGCCTCACCTCATTGACTCTCACCTTGAACCACGAGGGGTGTCTATGCTGGGTGCTGGCCTCACCTCATTGACTCTCACCTTGAACCACGAGGGGTGTCTATGCTGGGTGCTGGCCTCACCTCATTGACTCTCACCTTGAACCACGAGGGGTGTCTATGCTGGGTGCTGGCCTCACCTCATTGACTCTCACCTTGAACCACGAGGGGTGTCTATGTTGGGTGCTGGCCTCATTGTCTATGACGGGCAGCAGAGCGCATTTGGCGGAAGCTAACGGTGGGCCCATGGGGTAATTAAAAATAACAGGCCAGGATCTTACTTGCTCTGATAGCATGTCAAAATAGCTTCATAAGTTAGAACTAGGAGCCTAGGGTTTAGGCTAGGCCAAAGAGAGTGTCGAGAGCAAAAAGGGGCTTCACTATAGAATTGCAAGTACAAGTAGATGAGAAACATGCAAGGAGTGTGCACCACCAAACAGAACAGCTATGTAACTACACTACAGCTAGAACTACATGCACTTACACAGAAATATATATATAATATATTCTGACAATTTTCGCTTCCAGCAGTAACTCCTGCAGGTACAAACCTTCGCGAACTGCTGCTGTCGCGGCGATGTATTCTGCTTCGGCCGATGACAGGGCAACCAGCTCCTGCTTCTGCGAGTTCCAGGAGATTGGTCCTGTTGGTTCCAGGCGAAAAACAAAGCCGGTTCGGGACCGTCGATTTGCAGGATCAGCGGCATGATCTGCATCCACGTAGCCGTTGAGGTTGAAGGAGGTTGTCGTCAGCGTGGAGTAGGAGAGCCCGATGTCAGGTGTGGAAATGAAGTACTGCAGGGCACGCTCCAGATCCAGCTGGTTCTCTGCTACTGGCTTGCGAGAGTACTGTGCCAGTTGGCTGGCGATGTACGAAAGGTCGGGTTGGCAGGTGACAGAGGCGAACAACAGGCACCCCAATTTCTGCTGGTACATTTGGAGTCCTGCGGGTGACAGAGGTTTGTTGTCCGGTTTGTAGTTGGCGCTGGGGTTGCGGTAAGGGGTTGAGAGTGGTGCGGGCGAAATGTTGAAGCGTTCCCCCAGATGCTCTGCGTACTTGGAGGCTGACAAGTGAATTGCTTCTGGCGCGTAGGTGATGTTCAGCCCCAGGAACTGTGTGACGTTGTGGTTGATGGTGATGTCAACGCGCTGCGCCAGGTTCTCCTCGAACTGATTAAGGAGCTTGTTGCAGGTGCCGGTGTACAGCAGATCGTCGACGTAGACTGTCAAAAGGATGTAGTCGCCGTTAAAGTGAAGGCGGTACATTCCCGGGTCGTGCGGCAGCTGCCTGAAGCCGATCTCCAGGAGGATTTTGTGCAGATGCTGCTGCCAGAGACGCGACGCTTGCTTTATCCCGTAGAGGGATTTCTTCAGCTGGCAGACCCTAGGGTCTCCTTCCCTGTAGGTGTGTGGCTGCTCCACGAAGATGGTTGCATCCACCAACGCGTATAAGAACGCGTTCTTCACGTCGATCTGCCGCAGTGGTAGGTGCTTAGCGGCGGCAGTGGCGAGTAGAATTCTGACGGAGGTGTGACGGCTGACGGGAGCAAAGGTTTGATCAAAGTCGATGCCGTGGCGCTGGTCGTACCCGCGTACGACCCAGCGTGCTTTGAAGCGCTCGATAGTGCCATCAGCGTTGATTTTAAGACGGAATACCCATTTTCCGCTTAGCACCCTCCTCCCCTTCACTGCTGCACGATCGACCAGGACCCATGTGTCGCGTGATTCCAGTGCCTTCAGCTCCGCGTCCATAGCAGCACGCCACTCCTTGGCGTGAGGACCGGTCAGAGCCTGGCGAGGGTTCTTGGGTTCGACGGCGCGCGTGAGGGTAGTGACAGACGTGTGTAGGCCGAGAAGCTGCAGGCCGGACACATTGGTGGTGTCGCCGGTGGTGACTTCCACCACATCGTCATCGTCACTCTCGTGGGCAGTTGCGGTAGTGCTGGGCTCAGGTTGGCGACGCGATGGTCCTGACGCGGGTGTGTCGTCGTCATCATCGTCGTCGTCGTCGCGCGGGCGAGGCGGAACGCCGGGATGTTCGTCGGCGGGATCGCGGTCGAATGCTGCCGCTGCTGCCTCGTCCTCTGGGGATGCAAAGCTGCGGCCGCTGTTGACGTAGCCGCG